ACTTAATCAAATTTGATTCGACTAGTTCGTTTTTTGAGAGCAGTTCTAAGGTCTAGTAAGTACCTAGAAATGGTTTCCTCTTCATTCTGCATCTAGGCTTTGATTAATCGATGAAATTCAGACATGGGCCGCTTTCATAAGATAGTCACCCCTGTCCTTTAATATCATGCAAAGATTTTTGAGACGAAATCTAATCTTAAATGATTTATTGTCAAGAACAGTAATTGTTTTACTTGAACATGGTATCTTTTAGCTATTACCCTAGTTACGACAGCTGCTTTCATTCTTCTGTTAAGCGCTTGAGTTCGCGCATTTTGGTATTGATGTTTCAATTGCCGGCTGATTTTGTTGTTGCTGTCGTTCTAATTCGCTGTTGATCATTCGGTTTTGAACGGCATCCGGTAAAGTTAGAATGTCGCTGAATACCAGCCGAGGCGTGTCGTAAAACACTTTAAGACTAGCCTGTCTTGTTCAGTTTTTTCTATTCATTCGACTCATGTTGAATTCAGAATTTAAACAGAGAATAGAACATGACAAATTTAAAAGGGAAGTCGAGTTTTTTTATAAGACCTTTTCGCAAAAGTTCATAACTCATGCATTTTTTTATTCTAACATCTAAAACCTTGAAATAGATCAGTTTTAGCTTTGAAAATGTTTTTTATGAAACGAGGGATAAAGATAATTACTAATAAAACATGAATTAGTATTATCTGTATTTCCTGATGATGCTCAAAGTATTGAGCGAAAGATTGCAAATATAAAAAATGAATTATTTATTACTAAAAAGTTGGACTTATAGGTAACTTTGAACGTTCTCTATTCAACAATATGAAATAAAGCATGTTAATTTTCAAGAACCACCATTTCTTTTTATGTGTGATTTGGTTACTTACGTACACTCAGCTATTTCTGAATGTAAATAATGAAACATTGCTCGGGAATCTCGAATTGTTTCAGTAACAATCGATTTCGACCACTAGTCCATCAGCTTTGTCTTTTTCGTATGCACATGTTTTCTTCTCACATTGTAAGTGTTGAGTTAGGAGAATTAAGTAAGTCAAGTTTATCTGATGAAATAAACAAGATACTTAACTAAAATATTGAGAATAAGTCAATTTTGTTTTTATTTAACATTAATAAAGTAAAATTCTAAATACTTTAAAAACGCCCCCATTTTCACTTTATTAAATAAACGGTTCGGGTATACAATACGTGTGTTTGTGTTTATGTTGTTGGCTATTCACGGATTCATATCATACATTAACTGGAAATAACTTTCCAAACCACTCGTCAAGTTCAGGTTCACCACCTTGCCATTTATACGGACGTGGATCACGTTGTTTTAATTCTGTCAGCTTTTCTTTTATACCAGCAGCTAATTTTGGACGACATAAAGCACTCTTTTCTTTTTCCTGTAAATCACCCATCGTAACTATAATATTTGGACAATATTGTTGAATAGCATTTAGGAATGGTGGTGCACTTAATTTTGGCAAACGAGCTATTTCCATGGTTTGAACTTGTGGATGTAAAGGTACTTCTGCCATTCCTGCAAATATAGAATCAGTCATTTCATCGGCATTTGTTTCATCAGCCATAAATTCATTAAGATCATCAATAACAAAGTCATCGGAAGCTGTTTCTGCTGCTCGTTCTCGAATTGTTGAAAAGATTTGTTCAAGTGCAGCATCACTAAGATGACGACGATAAACATCAGCTTCATCTTCATCTACCGTCAATTCATTATCGTTATCCTCAGTTGTTTGGAGATTACGGCTATAAAGATCACCTTGAGCTTCACCAGAAGCATCCAAAAATTCATCATCGTCATTATCACCATCATTTATCTCTCGAATTGTTCTTGCTGTTGATAAACCAAGCAGAGCTAATATTATAAACAGTGAACAAATCATTATCAGTTTCATAATGATTGAGTTTTTCGTAGATGGTTACTCTATCGTGGAACAGTATAAAACGTATAAAATACTTGTGTTGACTATGGTTCCGTTAATCTTTCTTATTTCATGTAGGCATAACAAGATAAATACAATTATAAATAATTGATGAGAAAAGCTGTTTTTTCTTCTTCTGATCTCTTTCTATTTCTTTCGAATTTTTATTCGTGTCTGACTGTTCCAGATGCCTTCATCACTAAGAAAAAATAAGGGGTTACACATGAGTGGGACCGCTTTTTTCGGTCCCTACTCAGATCCAGTGGTCTGCTGAAAAATTTTGATCGAAGCTAAGTTTGAACTTGAAAAGAAACTTTCTATACTATAAAGTGCAAAAAATCTAGTTTATTGGCACCACCTTTTAAAAAAGTTGGTCTTGATTCTAATCCCGCTCTAGGGTAGAAGAGGGACAGCTAAAATATGGCTAAGTGTGACGTTGGTGGGGAAAGCGGCAACTGACCAGAACGATGTCATCGATGAAAAATATTTTTGAAAACATGATAGTGAAGGCATATCAGGCTTTAGCCCAGAGATGGCTTTTCCTCATCGTCTTTACGGAAAAAACGTTTAAAGAAAGAATGCTAATAAACGTTTTTGATGGCGTCAATTCGGAGGATGTAGGGATATGCAAAAGTCACAAAAGAAGTGATAACGTTATATGGGAACTAGCCTCTTTTCAATTAAAAGTTTATTGTTGTTCTTTCTTAGGGATATAGATAAGTATGCTGAATAAAAAAAAGTATCTAAAAATATTTTTTAACTATGCACGTCACTCCACTCTTTTATATGTATGGGTTATTGTTTATTAGCAAGAGAAAATGTATCTTTTTTCACTTATAGAAAAAAAGTTCGGTATCAATGCTGACCGGCCAGACGTGGGACGGGTGACTTTCTGGATGACAAAAAATAGGGGATACATAGACATTTGTTTTCTTTTCTATGTTGTGACACTGATCAGTATCCGGCACGACAAATTACTCTTCGGAAGACAATTAGCTCATAAAAGCACCGCGGTATGAGAAAAGAGCTTTTCAAAAGGTTGTATATTTCGAAAATTATTCGAAAAATATCGAAATGAATCCCGGTATTGGTTTTGGAAGATGAATCAGCTGCTGAACACATGTGTGTAATTTTGTGATAAGTGCCTTAGTTGCCGGTCATTTTTTCTGAATCCAGCTCTTCGTATCGTTTGTTCTTTTTCAGATGGACGAAGAGAGTTGTAAAGATTCCAAGAGTGAAAAAGAGCTAGAGTGTCCTGTAAAATAGAGAGTACGGACATGTATTTAGACCAATAGATATAAACACGGTCAAGAAACGGTAATTCACCGGAAAGACAGAAGAAAGTATAGGTGTCGAAAGAAGTACAGCCATAAACCTTTCGCAGATAGAAAGAGTAAAGACGAACAATTCGTTCTTGTTGTTTGATGGTTAAATAAAAGAATATCGGAATGATCCACATAAACCAGGGGTAAACATATGCAAAAAACGTTTGTCGCCTCAGTTTTATCCAAAAGATGACCAATGATGACCTCGGGAAAGGGGGCTTTTTGGAGAAAGATGATGTCATCAACAAAAAAATGTTTAGATATTTTGTAACTTCACTCCTGTTCGGATGAAGGGGGTGACACAATAAAAGACTCGGGTTGTCTATTCTGTTTGCATGCATAAAGTTCTTAGAGGGTTCTTCTACTGTGTCCCTGAAAGAAAGCTGTTTTTATTAGACTTAGACATTTTGTCATTTTATCACATGTGGGGTTTTTCTCTTATCCGTGTACTTCAAAGGAAGAGAAAATTTGCTTTAAATAGAAAATATCTGTTATTGTGCGAAACTTATAATTAGAAAAGTGGAAAATAGGAGGGCACAGTGGGCATTTTTTGCTAGAGCAGGCGGACTTTAGATTTATGAGTGACCTAAAATTTCATGAACCATTTTTTATAGGTTTTTCATGCTCCTCTTTCTAATGGCATGAGAGGTGGGCTTTGAAAAAGTTTTCTAAGGAGTTTTCCAGAGGTTCGATCTCTGGAAAACCTTTCAGAAAACTTTCTCAATATTTAAAAACGGTGTCACTGGAAAGAGCATTGTCAAAAACCTATAAGAAACATTTTTCGAGTCGTTCAGGTTACTTTATCTTGAAATTCAAATTTTCAGCATGAAATTGTTTGTGTGAATCTCAAAAACTAAGAAATTTCTAGAATTCAAAACCGAGCGACCGAAACCAGATGAGTTATACACCATTCGATGCAGTTTTTCACGCTGATTCCGCATATGACCTTTCTTTCAAGAAAAAGTGCTTTTTGAGGGAGAAAACTGCGAAATACTCGAGAATCCCCAGGGTTTTTGGAAAGCCTATAACTTAGCACCCCTAGAGTTGGGAGACTTTGTGAGATCAGTATATGCAGAGGAGGTTGAGACGAACATTTTGAGCTATTTTTCATATCAATAGCTGCTCAGCGGAGTTTAGGGATTGCATTTTTATGAGGACGTCTTTTGTTTTTAGATGAGTTTCGTGGAAAGATCTTCGCGTGTTCCCCGAAATTTAACTTTGTTCGACGAAAATTTTCTTACGGCTAGCTAGCCCAACAGATAGCGATCCTACATATGTCATTGTTTTTGAAGAAAACTTATAATTTGACGGAGAAAATGCAATTTTACGCGCCAGCATACTAATTCTACTGATAATTTTGTAATTTAATTTTCTCAACTTTGGAAGAAGCTAGAGCCAAAAACTTTTCATCGTTAAATAGGGCATTATTTATAGTATATATGTCATCATTCAAAATATAAAAATTCGAACCTGCGATTTTTCACCAAAATGCC